AACTTGTTTATTCTTCATGACGTACGATCGCCGACATTAACTGCGAACGCTTTAACCGCTTGCCCACCATTTGTCGGCCGGTAATGCGTGCGATCGATTAATTAAATCCGGCCAACCGGCGGCGGCACCGCGCGTCGATTCATCCCCTAAACGGCTGGCCAATCGCAGCGAGCTTGCACCGGGGTGGTTACGGCGACCCTTCGCGGATTCTCCTCGAGGGTGGGGAACGGCATGAGGATACGATTATCGTGCGGCAGGGCGATCACGCCAAATTGGGATCCTTCGGGAAACGACGACGTCACCGGAATAGCTCCGAGGATTTTATCGCGCGGAAGACAGCCAGATAAGCTTTCCGAACGTGCGTCGCACAGAAATCTCGTGAATCAACGACGATTGCGAGTTTGATTAAACGTCTTACTGTCGAAGACTATGTATCTAGTCGCATTTTAATAAAATAAAAATTTGCATTAAAACGAGAGACAAAATAAAAATACTGAGTAAGAAACAAGTAGGAACAAATATTATATGCCTCAAATTTTTATATTTTTTAAATTTAAAGTTAAATTTTGACTCATAAAATATCTATCCTATTTAACACGTCTGTATTTCTCTTTTTCTTTACTGTCGAATCTTCTGATTACCACGCATTTACTATGCACGCACCACACGGCGATTATGACGCCGATTTCTCAATCTCTTCTTGAAAAATCTGTGAGGTTGTAAATACGACGGGGTAGAAGGTCGAGGAAAGGGCAGAAAAAGAAAAGACCGAGACGTAGGAGAGAGAGAAACGGAGAGCAGAGAAGGAAGGAGGTGGGCATTCGGTTCAGCGCTTATATGCAGTTCGGAGAATTTTAACAAGACGGTCTCTCGCGTCGCCTTGGGCGAGGAATCTTCTAACAAGAAAGGGCACTTCTCCCCTCAAAAATAATGAAGTCTTCAAGCCGCGTTCCCACAAGCCCCCCGAGGGTGCCTGTGTTGCACCTTTGTGCCACTCGAATCACCGCGCGGATTCGCGACTCTCTTCCGTCAAAGTGTCAACCCTCGCCGTTAACGTAAAAAAGCTCGTACGGTGATGTAAAAAAGAGAATCGCTCCCTCTATACGTAATAGTACGTCATGTCTGTCATCAGCTCTGTAGAAAGTCATTCGAAAATGATAAATTGGATCAATAAGTAATTCTATTCTAACAGTTACACGATACGAGATCATAAATTAAATGAAAAACGCTTAACGATTGACCGAAGCATTTGTTACAACAAAATTAATTTACTAAATTTAATATTTGAAAAATATTCGAGAGATAAAATTCTTACTTTTAGGAATGCTTTAAAAAAGATGAAATAAGTGTGAAGTAATTAAATATTGAAAAATAACTGAAAAATAATTGAAAAATAAGGAGATAGAAATATATAAAAAAATAATTGAATAAGTAATATCGCGCAAAGATATATGTAAAATAACATGTACATTCTATTTCTACGTACATTTATTCTTTTCGCATCTTTATAAAATAGTCATTAATTTAATAAAAATATCAATAAGAATGTTATTACAAACTTTTACAGGCGGTTTTATGAAAGCGAAATAAACCTGAAAAGGGAGACAGACGAGAGTGTCTTTGCACCTGATCGCGCGAACCGTCGTCAATTTGCCTGCCGATGAGTAAGTCGACTTGTCGCCCCATCCGGCGACGCGCGTTTTCGCACCATCTGTATGAATATTTTTGCTTGCCGGCCCGTGCCCGGCTAATTAAATCAGCTCGGGAATTCGTGGTGCTTATCGGAACTTCATGTAAATTCGAACGGTGCGAATTCAATGTCCCGCGTGTCAATTAGTCGAGGCGGCGTCCAAACCGCGCTGTCTGCCTTGTAATTTCCTTGCTCGAAGGACACTATAAGAATGTTTATGCGAACCGATGAATTATCGCGCGTACACACGCGAACGCACTGCTAATTTCGTCATCTTTTGAATAAGTCGCGATAACTCTCGACTCGTAAACACGCACTAATTAGATTTTTTTTTCTGTAAAAATTTATAACGCTGAAAATTCAAGCATAAATATTCAGTTATGTATATTATTGCAAATTATGCTCTGACCATTATTTCTATTCTTTTATATCAATTTATTACGAGATTTTTGCTGCGTTAATTTTTATTTTATCAATTTTAAGATTAAATTTATTTATCTTGTATTTTTATTCTGACGATTCAGAATCATAAATTGTTTAAAAAAAAATGAATAATAATGCGCTGTTCTCTTCGAAAAACGTGCACTTCCACTTTTTTTCCGCTGCAGAGCGCTCGTTAACGAGAATCCGAGTGCGTAGCTGAAAAAAATCACGAACAAAAAGAACGCGGACCAGGACCCAACCGGGTGGTACATTTAATTCGGAACGCGCGAAATAACAAACAAAAGGGAACCGCCGAAACTTAAACCAAACAGGCGGATTGGATATCGTCGATACCGGCTACGTGCGCGCCAAAGTGTATCGACGCAATCGAAAATCGCAGAGCCGAAATCGAAATTGGCCGGTCTCACAAAAGCGCGCCCGACCGCGCCTGTAACTCAATTATTACGAAGTACCGGCCATGGTTGCCCGATTTTTTTTCCAACTAGAGATTTCGCGTTGATTTTAAAAAAACGCGACGGATAGGTTTATTTTGTGTTAGTCGTGAAACAATGAGAAAAATAATAGCCTATATTGATTTTTAAATATTAATACACTGGATGTCAAATTTTACTAGGATTTTAACAATTTTTTTATTTATTTACAGGTTCAAAAGTATGTATTGCGGTGTTTATAATGCAGTGATCCGAATATCAAATGAAAACGATGCAGCGGGTAATGCAATTAAACGAACAACGAAATCGGTGAGTACTTAATACTTCGACATGTTTTTCAAAAAGTTTGTTGAACTGGTTATTGGTAAATCATTGTCATATTATTAGGTGTGATATTAAACAAAAATGAAAGCTTATACTCGCATAAAGTTATGCAAAATGTGAGTATCTCGTATTTTTATTTGTTCCAAAAATATTTTAAAAATACTTATTTAAACTATGACTTATGTAAAGCAATCTTTTTCAATTTTCCAAAAACTTTTACAAGTAGACAAGAATCGTTTTGAAATGACACTTCCCAATTTTCTATATTTATTTTCAAACCAAATTCGTGAGATTTTATTCTACACGTGAAAAATTATTATTAAACTTTTTCGATAATCTATTAATCTCCAAATTTTCCGTGGAAAAATTCTATGCTCTTGCAAACATTATCTCCTGGATTTACGAGCAGCGAGTATCGAATATAAACGAGTTTGAGGTTGCTTACAGAAAGAGAAAGGGAGATAGAAGGAGGGAGAGGGACGGGAAATCGGCAAAGGGGTGGCTCGTCATTCTTTCGAGGAACCCCCGTTCTTTACATATGGCGCTTAGTACAGGCAATAACCATCGATAATCGGCCAATAGGAACGACCACCCCTCGCGGGCCGTCGATTCCCATCCCCTCTTTCGTAGATTCGTAGGCAGCATGACAAATAACTCTCACAATGGCCCATCGGCCACCCCCGCGCCCGCCTGCCACCCTCCTTGCTGCTCACTGGCGCATCCCCTTTCAACCCCCTCGTGTTATACACGACCAGATCGGTTCCGGCAATTTTACATTCACGTCACAGCCCCGCTGATTTATTATAATGTTTGCCGCGCGGTCCCCCCTCTTCGTCCCCGCTCATCGTCCCCTTTCCTCTGTAGCCACGTTGACGACCCTGTGTTCAGCCGGCGAATTGGGAAAATACTCTCCGGGGGATGAACTGTCGATAGAACGATGGCTGTTTCGAGGCTGGCTGGCCGAGGGATCAAGATCGAAATCGGACGAGATCATAGTCTATTTATGGTTTCGAACAGGGGGGATGTTAAGTGTGATGAGAAAGCAGCAGAGATGGTTTGACAATTTCGAATTATCCCGAAAATTTTATACTTTATACGAGCACGTTTCCCGTCATTCAAATATTCGAAGGCGCAACTACCTTTATCTTGCAATAGATTAACGTTTTAAATTAGATACGGCTTTATCTTTCTTTACAATAGCGTCTTCTAAGCATGTTTAAGACGCGAATCCGAATTTCCTCGGGAAACGTAGCGGAGGGATCCTTCCGAAGATCGATTTCCGGCAACGCCCTCCAGGTACTCTAAGACCGTATCCCGATAAACAAGACAATTTCGCGAGAGGACGTCCCAAGGAATCTATAAATCCTGCGAAGCAACTTATCCGCCACCGCGTATCCGCGCGCCGCCGCGATTAGAGCCGATCGGACCGGACTCGCCATCTTGAAGGCGTTTGCCACCAAACGATTGAATGTCTCCCCAAGCGGACATCCTGCGCCGTATCACCTCCGGACCCTTTTCTCACCGATGCAGGCTCGCGTTCCCCGCTCCTTTCCGCCCGATTCATTCCGCCATCGCGTGTCGCGGGAATTGAAAGCGCCGGCGATTCGGCCGATTCGAAAGCGGCGACGATTCTATTTTCCTTCGGTCGACATCGCACGGGGAATAAAAATCTTTACGGCGAATCCAGCCACGAAAATGGGATAGGTTATCCCCCTTATATCGGGGATGCTCTGTAATATCCACTTCGACGATGGGCACGATCGTATAAGATTTGCGGGGAAGATTGCTTTATCAATTGCGGGTCGGGAAATTATAAGAAGCTCGTCCTTCCAGCGCAGACACTTTGGGGTTTTTTGCGGGTTCTCTTATAAATTTAGATCAAGACATCTCAACATCGATTCGATAACCCTCGTATCTCGAAAGGGACGTGTCGGTGCTTCGGGTCGGCGCTTCGGATCGGCGACAAAATAGTTTCCGATTTACCGAACAACAATTCCATTTTCCGACATCGAAGGGCGAGGGGATAAAAATCTATACGGCGAGAATTGTGTGACTGCGGAAAATGGAGTCCCGCAGCTATCTCGGTATTCCGCTCTCGAAGCTTCTTCGCTCCGATTCACTTTGCGACACCTGCAGCAATCGTCTGCATCTTCTCAGTCAAATTCAATTTGCATGCGCGTTTTTTAACCCAAACGCGTAAAATAAATAGTTTCGATCGCGAAATATCGTATAAGTAATTTATCCGTATTTCCATTTTCTCTGAAAAATGCATAAATAAATTTAGTTAAAAGTATAAATATATTTCGTATGCTTGCTATTTTAATTCACGTATGATGATCATGAATTTTGAATTCATGACAAACAATTCCATTCACACAACCGACGGTTATTATCGTTACCGATTTACTATAAATGTATCTTTTAGAGCTTTTCTACTCCGTCGCTGCCTTTTTCCGCCTACGCTTGACTTCCCCTTTTCGTCCAATAACACTTCGCTGCAACTGATGCAACATAATTCCGAATGCAAACGAGATGCGACGGCTGTTGCCGTGTTCTTTTTCTTACCTGCATTATCGCATCGGGTGTAAAACTTTATCGTCGCAATTCCGTTGATAGTCGGAGAACTTTTATAAAGTAAGAATTGTAATTTGCGCCAAAAAACATGTCCACTGCCTTGTTGTTGCGAACTTGGACATTCCTTCGCGACATATACGAGCACGTGACGCGGGGAAGTAGTTCTAAATTTCGGTACGTATCTTCTTACGGGCTCGTGCAACACAGAACTTATCAATCGGGGGAATCTTATTCTAAAAAGTCCGCTCGCCGGTGTAGCGGCATCGCGTTCACCGATCCCGGAACGTTTTTGCGCTCAAGTCCGACGTCCGTGACTCGAGCACAGGCTGCATTATTTTATTAGAATGAATTATTCATGCGCGTCACTTACACGGTATGCATAAGTCGCGCTCTTTCATCAAACCCACCTTTTCTAGCTTTTACTGTACGAGAATCCGTGATTCGTCTTCTTACTCCTTCCTCGTTCGCCGAACGACAACAGATCGCGGAGCGAATCATAAACTACCGCGGTATTAGACAAGTTCCACCTGCACAGGTTTCGGGTGTATTCCGTCGACTTTTACATATACTTCGCGCGATGTTATTCCTGGCGCGATCGTACGACCGAATCCTTAAAACCGCAAGAAACGTTTGATGATAAACGTTTTCAATTTTTCGATTTCTACCATTTCTTTTTAAATTTTTCTGAATATTTATTTTAATTCAATACGCAAAATATTTGTTATAAACTATTTTTTATACTTTTTATGTATCAAAAATATTCTTTGTAGTTTCTCTCATTTGTAAAAGAAATAATTAGGATTAAAAAATTGAAAAAAATGCTCAAATGCAATTTTTGCATCTTACTAATTTACTTTTAGGCATTCTAACTGTGAGCAAAAAATGTCTTTTCTCCTGTTTTATCACTGTCCCTCACGAGGCTCGTCTCTTAACTCGATTCCGGGGGGACCGGTCTCACGATGCGCGAGGGTCCGCCGAAGCACGCTGCCCGAAGAAGAACGTGTCATCCTTCAACGTCAATCCGATGCGGCGGTGGACGCAAAACGAAGCGACGAATGCGATTTGAATGCGTTCCGCGAGAGTCGGTGCATTCCGAAAAGTAGCCGCGAGTCGTTTTGGTCTGCATGAAACCTTTTTCTTGCGGCGGGATTAGACGCGCGACCGTTTTTCTACCGCGCGAAACAAGATAATTGGAATATCACGTGAAAGAATGCGCGGCGAACAATAAGTGAGATCTCGATATTCCATCGGACTCCATCCCGTTGCTTAGACTCGGATCGGATCGCGACGAAAAAGGCGGGATATTTCGTTTTGTGTTAATACTTTCACTTTTTACAATTCGCGGCGTGTGTCAGTCGGATATTTTAGATGCGATCAACATCCATATTACACGGTTCCCCTCGATAACTCTATTACTTCATCGCGATAACTCGCGATCATAATTGCTTGTTGTATTTATGCGCTGCAGTTAGCAAAACACTATTCATTGTTCGCCGCGTATTAAGTCAGGCAGAGAATGGGCTGGAGAATGATTGCTTAATTCGCAGCATGTCGGAGCAATTAAAAATAGATATGTATCTCGCAGGATATAGTGCCGCGTTTAGGACTAATGGCGTCTACGCTACTTTTATCATCGCGAGCGTGTTCACTCAAGCGGAATGCATCCGATACCGGGCGCTACGTTCTCTCGTCTGCGAAAACGTAAAGAGCGCATTTCCGCGGAATCCCGCGTCTCTCGCGAGCGGACGAGGATCAAAGCGATCTCTCGAACCGCGTGATCTTTCCCATCGAAGAAGGTCGAAGACAAATGCCGCGCGTGAAACGTCGGACGCTAAAGGGACGATGTAAACGGACGCTATTACCGGAATAGCTCTCGCACGGCATTCCGACGAGAATGCAGCTCTTCTTCTCCTTCTCCTTTCCGCTCTTTTCCGCGACGCTCGTTTCGTGTCCTGGAAGCACGATCGCGCCGCTCACGGAAATTCCAGCGTTTGCATATCAAGGCGCCGCCACCGTTTAGCCAGCCATTACCTTCGGACCCGCGCCGGCCAATCTGTTTCCGAGCTCTTTTAATTCCACCCTGGCCCTCCTAGGTGCACCGGATATTGCCCGGACATCCCTCGGAATATTTGCATATACCGTCGGCGACGTTTAATCATTCAAAGTGTATCCGCAGCCTCAAATTATTTTACGAAATCTGTTCGGACTGTTACTTTATCTTATTTTATTAATATCGAATAAATTTGTTTTATTAATCAATTTACTTTATCTTATTTTATTAATATTGAATAAGTATCGTGTACGTGACGTCACATACTTTTCTAGTTATTATACCGCACAGATAATTGAAAAATATTTTTTTTTTAAATAATGAATTAAAATTTATGCCGTGTAAATACCAGTTACCTTGA